CACCTCTCCTCTCGCTGCCATCGGGCCTCGGATCTTCAAGACATCTATGTTCTTCGCCAATGTCTAGTGATCATTATAATTTTGTGAGAATAAAATTTCCTCTCGTTCTTTTGGCGATGCCATGAGGTTAGAGAGATTTTTGTCCTCTCAGATCCGATTATTCGGATCTGATGAGTTTATGTGATTCTTTGTGGAGTTGAAATCTTTCGTTGGCACCATGGTGAAGATATAGCGATTGACGGCCTACACTTCTAGGGGATCATCCCGGCCAAAGTATGTTCATCGATCAAGGCTTCCTTTCTTTTCCATGGGCGACTCAAGGTGCTTTTAAAAATCATTATTAGTAATGTTCGTGCGGGTAAAAGAGTGACAATATCGTTGCTTCAGTCCAATCCAATTACAGCCTCTTTAACGAAGTATTTGGAGTATTTCTTCGAGCAGAGATTGATACCACAAAGTGTTTTCAAGGGATTTCATTGTAATGTATTTTTTTGGATCTTAGGTCCAAATCAGTGATATGCTTAGGGCATCACTGATATGCCCTAAAGATATGTGCGACTTGTGCTTTCGGAAGACTGTTTGCGCACTGATATGCTTAGGGCATCTCCAGCCGCGCCCCAGGAAGGCCTCCCCAGGCGTTTTTTTCGCGTCGGCGCCGAATAAACGGCCCAGTCGCGCCCCCAGGAGCTCGATTTTCGCCGGCTTGGGCCGAAAACAGCGCCGGCGGACCCAGCCCGAACCTGGCGCGCTGGGGGGCGCCCGGGGGCGCCGGGGCAAGTTGTTTTGGCGCGAAAAAGACGCGGGCCAGCCGCGTCAGCGACTCGGCGCCTCGTCTTCCCCCAACGGCCTCGGTTTCCCGCGGGGAATCAATGGCAAGGCTGCCGCCGGTCAGCCTTGCCATTGATTCCTCACGGGCGGCGCGCCGACGCCTCCCTTCCCGCGCACGCGTACACATGGGCGCGGCCCGGCTATAAAAGCCAGCGGCCTCCACTCGCCTGTGCCCAGACCAGTCCCCCCTCGCCGCCGTCCAACCCCTCCCTCTCCCTGCCTCTCCCGAGCGCCGCCCTCCGGCCCCTCCCTCTACCTCTCCCGAGCCCGCCCCGCCCCGCCGTTGCCATGGCAGAACGCTTCCTCGGAGACGAGGCGGCGGCCAACGGCTTCGGCCGCCGTTCGCTCCGCGAACAGGAGTCCTGGCTCCTGTTCCAGGCGAACATCCCGGCGCCGCCGGACATGCGCGCCGGGCCATCGGGGTGGAGGCTCAGCGCCGGGGGAGTACCCATTCCCCCGTTGCCCGACGCCGTGGCGAAGCCGAAGTACTTCGCCGAGGAGGTCGAGATCGTGCGCGCGTCGCTCACCGATGCCCAACTCTCCCTCCCCCAGTACGCCGCCGACAACCACGCGGCCTGAGCGGCGTATTTCGAGCGCCGCCAGCAGCAGCGATTGGCGTCCACCAACGGCGCGCCGGTGGTCGGCGGCCGGCAGAACAGCGAGGGGTGCCACCTCTGGTGGGGCGTCCCCGGCCGCACACTCGAGGGCGTGCTCACGTACCTCGAGGGCGGCAACGACCCGCCGTTGGCGTACCCCCCGGCACAGCACCGACGCGTCGGGCCATGGGCGCCAAGGAGGTTCGGCTCCTCCTCCTCCTCTTCTTCCTCCCGATCCTCGTCGCACTCCTCCGGCACTCCGGCCCTACTCGGCGTCAAGGCCGAGCCCGCGGCGGAGTCGCCGCTCGGCCGGCGCATTCGCAGCGCCGACATCGTCATCAACGAGGGCGGCCGGCGCGCCTCGTCCTCGTCGGCTCCTCCGTGTTTCGTCAAGCCAAAGACGGAGCCGGGGCTGGCGCCGGTGAAGACGGAGCCGGGGCTTGCGCCGGTGAAGGCAGAGTTCGACGACGACGACGCGACCCTAGAATGGGCGCGCCAGGACTCCATTGCGGTGGAGAAGGCGCGCCGGGAAAAGGTGAAGGAGCACCAGCGCGCCGCTTCGAAGAGCGCCGACGCGGCCGCGATGAAGACGGGGTCGTCGTCCTACGCGACAGCGACGACGCGCCGCCGCTAGTCCGTCATGGCGACGCCGGGTCCAGCATGGGCGCCCGCGTCAAGGAGGAGAAGGCCGCCGACGACGACAATGGCGGCGACGACTTCAGCGCCTTTCTTTTTTAGATTAGGTTAATGTCATGAAAATGGCGAATTTCGCCGAAATTTGCCATGTTTAGACGAAATTTGCCATGTTTAGCCGAAATTTAACTAGTTTTTATCATAACTTCGCCGAACGTCTCATCTTTTTTTTTAATACGCGCCTAGGGACGGCCCTGGGGGCCGACTCGCCCCCAGGGCCATTTTTTGCGCCGGCTCACCCTCAGGCGGCGCTTTTTGACGCCCCCTGGGGGGCCAACGGCTGGAGATGCCCTTAGAACCTATTTTCTGCATGTATCGTGCTTTCAGAAGACAGTTTGTGCAACTGATAATCTTACAATCTTCAACATGACAAGTTGGCAATTACAGGAAGTGCAAGTAAAGTGGGATCATGTGTAAAGCCATATCAAGAAATGCTATCTATTTTCTGCATGCATCTCCTTTATCTTAAAATCATCAAAATGCCAAGTTGGAATTACAGGAAGTGCAAGTAAAGTGGTATCATGTGTAAAGCCATATCAAGAAATGCTATATATTTCTGCATCCATCGCCTTTATCGTAAAATCATCAAAATGCCAAGTTGCAATTACAGGAAGTGCAAGTAAAGTGGTATCATGTGTAAAGCCATATCAAGAAATGCTATCTATGGCTTCAGAGTTCAGATTCAACACATTTGCACTGTCTAAAACAAGAGAAACAGCCAGTGTGGGAGACTTTAAGTACGAGCTAATAATATCAATGCACTCCTATATGAGTACTGAAACCTCTTAATACATAAAAAATGGACAAACACAATGTCGGTGGTTTTTCTTCCATATAACAACAATCCTGGATCGGTGCACACCAATATGTTAATAAAACTCTCACAATCAAACTTTGACAAACACAATGCAAATCGATGTAGGCATTCATCAGTGTTAAACTAAATCAGACATGGCTTCACATGTTCCAGCTCCTTGTCATCCGCATCATAAGCTCCCACGCCGCCTTGCTGTTCACGGTGCGTTCCTAGCCATTCCAGGTCTCCCTTTGCACCTGCACCAGTAGATATGGAGCCAATCTATCAACAAAATCCATTTACAGAATAATAATGAAACAATCAATGGCGCCATTCAGTACAGTATCCCTTTTTTATTCTGTAAAATGGTACAAGTCCATCATAATCAATGCTTCATGTTATCATTTGCATGTTTGCATCACAGCCACAGGCTTTGATAGTACTTAGTTATCTTGGTTTGTGCGATTTTGCTAGTAATTAGTTACAATGCACCAAATCAAGGGGACTTGACAGGCTCGATTAATGAATTAAGCTGACAAGAAATAATTATGAACCAACCATGCATGCATATCCGTTACCTGAAGCTGCAGCACTTATATTGAGATGGCTAGAGATGGTGCTGTAGAACAGTGTTGTGAATCTTCCCATCTGAAAAGGATGGACTCCTAGCAGCTTCTTCGTCACCGTGTCGACAGCAATCACCCACGCTTGCTTATTTAAGTAATGCTGCTTGGCTAAGAAGCAGACGATGTTGTCTTCGTGTAAGCTTAACATTGGCAAGTTAATGAAGAGAAGCCCAAAATCTGGTTTGCCCTCAGACTGCAAAGCCTCAGGCAGCAGCCCAGCAGTGTTGACACCGTCACCCACCGAAAGTTGTCTAGCCTCGAGAATAGTGTGAGTGTCCCACTCCTCGAGTCGGAGCCAAGGACTTGTAGCTGTAGTGGTAGTACTCCATGTGGTAGCAGCCCAAGCCGGCAAGTGCAAAGGACAAACCAGCTCAATGAACTTGATGCGGATGTGGCCGGACGACATGTCGATGCTAACGTCGCGAGTATACAAGGGGTAATTGGTCCATGGTTGACTGATCTCTGTTGTTGCTGGCAGCGGAATGTAGAGGAACTGGGGGCTACCTTCGAGGACATCGCCGATTAGGATGCCTTTAAACAAGTCAACGAATGCCATGACACTGCACCAACGGCGATAACCTTGTTCGGCTCAAAGCCTCCGTCATCCAGTAAGAAGGCTGCTTGGTCCTCCGGTGACAAGACGGGCTTCTTGACGGTCCAAGTTTCCATCTTGGAGCAGAAGAGGGAGAGCTCAAACTCTCCTTTCCTCTGCATAGTTAGTAACGCGACATAGTAGTCTCCGCCGTCGCCATGTGACAGGAGGCCGACCGCACAGGGTTGGCCGACCAAGCACCTGAGTTGCGGGACCAGATTGAGCGACGGAGTGCCAGCGCCGCCGTGGCCGCAGCCGGGCTGGTAGATGTAGTATTCGCGGAGCGGACATTCCTCCATGCTTATGTCCATGCTAAGGAGGATGAGCCCGCCGTGAGTGCCGTGGATGAAGGGCTCCTCGGTGACACGGGCGTCGGTGGACCAGACAACGACGTAGGAGATAAGAGGCGGGCGGTGGACGAACAAGCTGACCTGAATGGAGATCTCGCGAGAGTCATCCGGGTGCTCCGTCTGGTGGGTGGCGGTGGTGGCGTTGGTTGAATCGGCGACCACAGGCTTGATAGCGAGGAGGCAGCTCTTGGGGAGCTCGACGCCGGGTGGATCCATCCTAGCTAGCTCCATCTGGATTGGATTTAACTGGAGCGGATTTTCTCAGATGGATCTGACGATCGCCGGGCGGATCAGTTGGAGACGGACGATGAACAGGGAAGGGGAACAACAGGCGGCGGCGGCCGAAGGAGAAACGACACTTCTAGGTTAGGGTTATGCAAACTCAACGTTGGCTGGGCCGGTCTCATGTGCCATGATCCTTTTATGAGTTCCCTAACACACACACACACACACACACACACACACACACACACACACACACACACACACACACACCCCGGCAGCGATCTGATGCTAGGCCGGCTTTGGTCCGGCCCAACAATACGGTCGGTTTTGTTTTTAGCTCAAAAACATGAAATAGAAATGTTCACACAGGATTCTCAAAAAACAAAATGTTCACACATGACAAAAAAAAAGGTTAGTCTAGTTTTAGAAAAATGTTTACCGATGTTACAAAAAGGTTGACAATAAATTAAAAAATGTTCACCTATAATGAAAAATGGTGCATGGTAAAAAATGGTTTATGTTTGAAGAAAATGGTTCATGATAAATTAACAAAGTGTTCACCTATGATAAAAAAACATTTCACGATAAATAAATAAGTGTTCAGCTAGAACAAAAAGATTCATGTATTTCCGGACAACAAAAAATTATGAAAAAGGGAAAAGAAAAACAGTGTAGTACCCTGAAAAACAGAGAAAAAAAGAAACATCGGAAACAAAAAAAGGTAAGGGAAAAAAGAAAAGAAAACACAAATGAACCGGCCCATGCGGAGCAACTATGTGGGCGAGTCGATGCACATGCCGCGGGACTGCGGTGACTAATGCACACACCCACCTTGGCCATACCACCATCTTGTACTCACGCCACTTTGTAGCTGGGTTATTTATTTTGAGAGCAAAAACTCTACACTTACGGACAATAGCTACAAAACTCACTTACGGACTCAGAAGACAAGGATGTTGCTGACGCCACACAATAACAAGGCGTGTATGGTGTGCAGGTTGGCCAGCTCGACGCCATCTACTTTAACCTAAGATAGCATACGTCCCATCGTAACATGTAACTGATCCTGTAAAATTACCTGGCCATGTCTATAAGTTGGCACTGCGGCCTATATAAGGGGTACACACCCTTTCTACGGGAGAAGGTTGGACATTCACACACACACACACACACACACACACACACACACACACACACACACACACACACCATACATCTTCTCCACGGGAGAATCCACCAACACCCAGCCGGCTGAACCGCCAATGGGCATCATCTTGTACCTTGAGCGCCTCACACGCCGGAATACAATCAACCCAAACAAAGAGTAGGGCTTTCATCGGAGATGATTTCGGGCCTGGACCTCTATACATCCTTGTGTGCTTGTGGTTGTTAACCCATCCGATCGTAGTCACAAGCTTGTACCTACATAGGAATTCACTATACAGTTACGAAACACCGACAATTGGCATGCTAGGTAGGGGCTTTGTGCACTAACTTGCGAGCATCGTTATCATTCACCTTCACCGCCAGCGGCTTTGACGCCACCCCTGTATCAGCTCGCCATTCCATTCAACTGGACGGCGGAATCGCTCCTGGAGAAACCATCCACTTTGGTAGCTTCAAATTCACAGCTGATCTAGAAGGTATGCTACAACTCCACGATCGGATACCTCACCACGACGAGGCGACACCTCCCCTAGAAGAAGCCACAACTTCACTTAGGACTCCAAAGCATACGCAAGCCTTAGGGGGTCGACTACAGCTCATCTCTTCGGGTGTTGCCATCCTCAAGGTCATGCTAGGTCAGAATTGTACACTTTTTGGCAAGGCGTCAATGAATCCCTGCATGTCGGGACCCCAATCTAGCATGTAACACATCATATCACTTTGCAGCCTCACGCACGGTATTCCCATGGTTGCAACCTTACATTGGTCGGGATTGTTTGCGCCTTTTGGCTCACGTATATGATTGTGTCGCTACCATCCATATGATAGAGAACCCGGGTCGACATGACTAGTCATAAACCCAATGTGGCACAAACTTACCGGGACAGGCATACGTAACCCAACAACGAACGTGTCGGTCATGAACGTATGAACCCAAGTCGTAGCAATCTACAATGACTTAAAGGAACAACGCGTGGCATTTCCCCGAAGGGACAGACACATGAACAAAGAAGGATACATGTCGGCCAACCTAAGTGTTCCGGAGTAGCAGCGAGCTACCATGGCTCAGTGGAAGCACTAAAAGACATTTCCCCATAAGGAAGGCTACCAAGAATAAGCAACTAGGTGTCGGATCCCACACATACCAAGCATTTCAATAACATACACACAATATGCTCGATATGTGTAAATATAACATGGCATCACAACAGAACTCTACAACTCAAAGTATTTATTCAATAGGCTCCGAGGAGCCAGCACTACTGCAGAATGCTGCTAACGCAACACTACAATCAAAGACCCTTCGATCAAACTGTGTGCGATGCAATAATCGCAAATGGTGATGTAAAAAACCATCAAAAAGATGCAAAACACTTGCGATGGCAGAAACATCAAACACGGTTTGGATTTTAGTTGCATGTGCGATGTGGGGCATACGGTTCGGTACAATTAACTGTTTGTGATGAGGCAGAACAATAGAAATGGGCAGCCAAATGAAGGTGTGTGTGAGATATACGGCATACAGTTCACTCAGATGAACTATTTGTGATTAGGCGGAATAAAAGAAACGGTCAGCCAGATCAAGGTGTGTGCGATCGAGGGCAAACAGTTCACTCGGATGAACTGTTTGCGTTGAGCTAAGAGAACAGAAATGGTTCAATTTAACAAGATGTGTGTGATACGTGGCAAACAGGTTTATAATCAGAAATGTGTACGAAGACCGATAATAACACAGATGATTGCTGCTAATAAGACGTGTGTGTTGTGCGGTTGGATTGCGTACAGAACAACAACAAGAACAACAACAACAACAACAACAACAACAACAACAACAACAACAACAACAACAACAACAACAACAACAACAACAACAACAACAACAACAACAACAACAACAACATATATATAATTAGATATTTAATTTGGGTATGCAGCCATGTCATGTGTGTAGTAGCCACCTATGTAATTAGATGTTTAATTAAACATCTAATTACATAGGTGGCTACTACACACATGACATTTCCACACACCAAAGTCAACTATATATTAAATGCATAATTAACTAGGATGAATGATCATCTGATCATCATGTACTTCTTGGGACGCTTGCCGCTACTTCTTTGCTTGTGGCTCGATCCGGCCTCGTTGATGTCGGTAACGAGGCAGTTCCTCATGTCAACTATCCGCCTGTGCATCTCGTAGCATGTGTACATGCTCTTGGCCGTGAACCTGAGGTGAGGTTCATCCAGTTGCCGCGTCCAGGCTCCGTGCCAGGATACGGGATTTGTTCTCTTGGCATCCTGCTTCATCTTTTTGTAGTAGTGGTCGATGATGGCCGAGGCGAGTTCAACCAGGGAGTCCTTCTTCGTGCTGCCCCAGATCGTGTAGTGCTCACGGATTTCGACAAGGTTCTTGTAGTCCAAGCCCGTAACCTTGAGCGCCTTTACATCATTGCAGGTTTCTACCATAGAGAACTTATAGTTGGTGCTGTTGACAAACATGGCGAAACGGTCGCAAGGCTTTGTGGCCATGCAGTAGTGGAAGATGAGGACATGATGGTGCACGCACAACTGGGCGACGTCAACCTTTTGATCTTTGCCGAGATGACCGTCGGTGTACTGGAGGTCGATGCCGACCACCTTGTACTTGCCTCGAGCAAGCAACTGCTCCACGGATTTGATGTAGTCGTCCACCACGGTCGAGGCTTTGGTGTACACCACTGAGAGATCCATCTCCCTCGCGTGGTGATGACCCACAAGTATAGGGGATCTATCGTAGTCCTTTCAATAAGTAAGAGTGTCGAACCCAACAAGGAACAAAAGGAAATGACAAGCGGTTTTCAGCAAGGTATTCTCTGCAAGCACTGAAATTATCGGTAACAGATAGCTGTGTGATAAGATAATTCGTAATGGGTAACAAGTAACAAAAGTAACTAAGGTGCAGCAAGGTGGCCCAATCCTTTTTGTAGCAAAGGACAAACCTAGATGAACTCTTATATAAAGCAAAGCGCTCCCGAGGACACATGGGAATTACTGTCAAGCTAGTTTTCATCATGCTCATATGATTCGCGTTCGTTACTTTAATAATTTGATATGTGGGTGGACCGGTGCTTGGGTGCTGCCCTTCATTGGACAAGCATCCCACTTATGATTAACCCCTCTCGCAAGCATCGACAACTACGAAAGAAGAATTAAGATAAATCTAATCATAGCATGAAACATA